ATTTAGATTTTTTAGACTCGTGAAAGAAAAAATATTTATTGAGCAGTTTTGATCCAAATTGGACTGTGATATGTGAAATTTTTCCACTTGCCACGTTATTCTTCTTATATGTTTTTTCACTCGTGCATCTGATTATTATCTCGATACTCTGTACTGTTTTGCTAGACATAAAAGATGTCAAAACGGGCCTAGGCCCACGGGCCAGCCGCGCCGCCCCGCCCCGCTGAAAGGATGGGTTGGGTTGAGATTTCATAGGCCCGCTAAAGAGCGGGCCTAAACGGGCTGGCCTGTGCGGGCCGCAGGCTTTGGTGGGGCGGGCCTGGCGGGCTGCGGGCTAGCCCGCGAGATTTTGGTCATTTTATTTCACTCTTCTCAAATATAATGGGCTTAGCTAATGTTAAATATTACATAAAACAACTAAACAAGGCAAGTTTATCAAAGTGGCCCATACCACTACCTCTCCTCTTCAAACACACTTTTTAACTACGTTCAGAAAATCCCTAGCTTACCCCAAAATCAAACACATCTTAATTTGCATAAGCAGCCCAACTTGACGATCTGCTGAAAGATGGCCGACGAGGACGGACTCAGGTTTCGGCACTAGCTATCGACACAAACACGATATCACGGAAGGCCCCCGTCGGGAAGAACAATTGCCGCCGATGATAGAGATTGGTTGTCGTCGAGGAAGGAGAAATGGAGGCCTTCGCCGATAAGACCTCGGTAGCGGCGTGTCGGATGTTCGTGAGGAAATCGAATATGTTGATGGTGAACTGATAGGGTTGAATCGGATAATTTTTTTGGAGAAAACTATATACTAGTGAAGTTTTGTAGTTCAATTTTATTGTTTTTTTCTTGGAAGTGTTTGTGCTTGGTCGGCCATGATCGTGTTTTGAGTTTTGTTCAGATTTTCTTACGGTCTTACCCTCTCGTGTTTTTTTTTTCTTTAAAGTTTTTTATTATTTTTTTATTTTAAGCGGGCCAGCCCGCCTAGCCCGCGGCCCGTGGCGAGGTTGGGTCGGGCTGCCCTTTTATAGGCCCGCCAATCAGGGGCGGACGCAGACTCGTAAAACTGAGGGGGCACAAACGTAACTTTTACAAAGTGCAAAAAAAAAAAGATAATTAATCTCTGCATATTCTTATATATTGCATCACTCATAATTACATAAATTCGAATCTCATTAAATACAAATACGATTTTTTTTTTCTTTTGCATTGGACTTTCTTACAACGTTAGCATTCGTGGACTTCTTTATAATAAAGATAAATATTTTATTAGTTAAAAAA